CCCCAAAACCCCAAAACCCCAAAACCCCAAAACCCCGCTATGCCTAATTTATTAGACTATTGAATTTAAACTATTGGTAAATTAATATTCTTAAAGTAGCTTGCAATCACATATGCTTTTGCGTCATCAAGACTGATGAAATTCTCATACACTGTTATGTGATCATTTAACTGAAGTTACTATTAGCTCCTGCTCTGACTTATTTTTCTTTCTTTCCTTACTCTTCTTTGACGGTTTCATATTATAATTTTTTTAAGAGCCTCCACCAAGTGCGTCATCCCCGCTCTCAAAATCATTAAGTAGATCCTTTTTCTTAAGAGGAGAGTTGTCAGTGACTTGAATTTTACCTAATACTATAGCATCGAAGTTTTCCCTTAACTTCAAAATAGAGTCCTTCAATTCACCAAAGGATTTGATTGGCCCCATATGAGCCATAACTTGAGTGGAATATGAAAGTCTGTTATCAATAGAATCGCTAAAGATACCTTAACCTTTAACTTCTCTTCTAGCCCGATCTCTCATTTCCAAGAATTAATCTTTTTTCTGTTCTCTAATTATCTTCATCTTTTCCTGTTTAGTTTATTATGGAGTTTTCTATTTATCATTTTGTTAAGTATTAGCTTTTTTATTGTCATCTTCCAGAGCAGAAATAAAAATTTTGGGGGTGTTATTATTACCTCTTCTTTCTATATCAGGTCTCATAAACTGATCCTCATCTTCCATTTCAAAGTCTCCAAGATCTAGAGATTGATTATTTTTCGCAGAAAATTCCTCATCAGTAGATGGAGTTTTCCTATTAATAGCATTAATACTAAAGTTTGGATTCTCATTGCTTTAAGTGTAGTTATCCCAACCTGTTAAGTTTTCTCTAGTAATTTCAGTTTTTTCTTCAAACACTCCAAGGGAGGCTTAAATTGCAAAATAGAGATCTGGATCATTTGCATATTCCTCGGGAATATCTTAGTTTTATCTCGGTTAAAGAAGCTCAGTTGTTGTTTGTAAATTTAAGCCAAACTAGCCGTTTCTTCTCTAATTTTTCTGTGGTGAGTACATTCTTTGAACTTCTTTCTCTAAAGATATTAATTAAAGTATTGATTCTTACTATCATTATTTTCATCAAAATATTTGTCCTAACAATTATCAAAAGAATTTTCATCTCTGTAAACGCTGTCACATTTAAGCAGATATTTCATAGATTAGATCAGCTCCAACTTGTTCTACGGGTTCATGGCAATCCCTTCTGTTTGTAAAATAAAAAGTTTGTATCTAACATCTCCATCAACATCTTTTTCGATGTCATCAATTTAATGATCTATCAATCTTAAAGCGCTTGCTCCCTTGTTTTAAATTTATTCGTATCTTATCTAATTGATTGATCTATCAACCCAAGCCTTATAAAGAGATACCTTTGTGGGGGCGAAATTAAGCATGCCTGAGATAGAATTCAAGAAGTTTTTCACTCCAATATGCTTAGAGACCAGTATCCCTTTCATTTATTTATGCATGCCATCCACGCAATTTACTTTAACAATGATAGGATTAAGATCAGGTATCTCTTTGGCTTGAAACTCATTAGGCTGATAAATATCAGTGATCTATTGAGTTGTTGATTCGGAGCCTTGAGGATCCTGATTGACGATATGTTTTCTATCAACCAAGTAAAACCCGATCTCTGGTGCACCTCCGAAATATCGAATGAGCTTCTGCCAGATAATTAGACTTACGAGTACGAAATCCTTATTTCTTTCAATATCATTTTTCAGTTTCATGTAACTCCAATCCTAGAAATTCTCAATCCATGACTGAGGATTGTTCATATCTAAAGAGTATAGGTCACCAAGATATGGCTGCTCAACATCACTATTGAATGATATTTAAAACTTTTAAAGATTATATGTCCTTCACTTATTAGTGAAGAACTTAAGTTTATTTCCTTTTAGCATATTCTGTTTAAAACTTACACAAGTTGGAAATTCATGATTGGGCCTGGGTATTAAGCAGGGATCTCTATGTTACTATTAGTATTCCATGATCCTAGCTATAACTATAGGGAAAATGTTTTAATTTGTAAAGAGATTACATTAGCCTGTCTAATTTATTCATCGAAGCTTTTTAGACTGTCGCCGAATTATTTAAACTTATCAAACCACTTTTTACTCACTGCATAGCACTTTTTGCTAAAAGACAACATCATTTAAACTTCAAATTCTTTATAAAGTTTAAGAAATTCCTAGGCTTGTAAATAATGAATCACAGTGACTTGATCATTATTAGAAGAAGAGGAGTTAGATTTGATCTCCTCAGAACTAATCGAGCTTTGTACCATTTAATATTATATTGTTTTAATTATTAACACTTTAATTGAGATTGTAGATTGATTATCTTTGCTTTGGTTTTAAATCTAATTGCTAACCTCTAACCCTAGTCTATCAAAATTTCTTAATAAACCTCAATCAAAATTAAAAACTTAATTAGTTGGAAGAGCAATTAAATTGAGATAGGATGCTAGCAAGACTTAAAACTTAATAATAAAATAAATTTTTAATAAAATGGACAAGTCACCCAAACATTCCGCATTCCTGAATAATGTTGAGAAGGAATTAAACAGCAAAATCTCTGCTTAATTCTCGAAATATTCAAATAACCTCAGAAAGCAAATGAAAGAGATTGCTGACTATAAGTCAGCCTTTGAGGAAGACTTCAAAGAGTTCTAATCGGACAAGATTATCAAAGATGAACTCTATGAGCAAATTAAGGATGAGGAAGAATTAAAAGAATTGCAAATAGAATATGCAGCAAAGCTAAAGGCATAAAAGATGGTTAAAGATCCGAAATTGCCAGAACTTTATGAAAACGAAGCCAAAAAGATAGAAAGACAGATAACCGACAGAAGGGTACAAAAAGCTTTGAAGGAAGAAGCTATTTAAAATAATCTTTAAAAAAATTTGAAACTTAATTTGCTTCCAGAAGGAATGTAACAGATGCCTATAGAAAATGAATTTTAAATGCCTGAATCTTAAACAGTAATGTAAGATCAACAGTAGCAGTATCTAAAGGAATTTGAAATGGATTTTGACAAGATTGAAACTGAGTTGAAAGCACAGCTACAATCGATTGTAAACAATGACTATGATACATTTAAAAGAATACAAAAAAATGAATTCTCTAAGGAAGATACACTCAAGTATTTGAAACGCATAAGCTAGGAAGACTTAGATGATATGGAATTTGAGAGAACAAAAGTTAATTAATATGATAGTAGTCTGAATAATTCACAGTATAAAGAATTCTGGGGTGAAATTAAGCCTGAAAGAACTACAAGGAATAGTAAGTCTGTAGTGAGAAAACATAGTGATGACAGAAAGTAAAAAGGCAACAGCAATCATACTAGAAATTAAAATAACAACAGTATCAGCTATAGTAATAATAACAATTTACTTCCAGATATTAGAAATAGAGATTTCTTGAATTATAGCACTATTGATGCGAGTAGTGCTAAAAAGGTGGTCAACAATTCTTTCATAACCTAATAGCCTGAGGAAAATTAGAAGTCTTAGCAGAATGAAGATGAAGATGAGAAGAAGTACAACTTGATGGATGAGTATAACAAGAAATTCTCTAAATATGATAAAGTAAGGTCAGAGCTAAAGCAAAAGGATACCGAGTAGACATTTAAGATTTAGATAAGAAAATTAGGAGCAAAGATTAAGAATTTGGAAAGATCACATCTTATTAATCTCAGGTATGTGAAGGAGAAAACTAAAGACAAAGCAGAGAGAATGATAAATGAAAGAATAAATAGATGCAAGATGGTCTATGAAACTGAGTTCCAGCACTTGTGTGAGTAGTTTGAAAATGTTAAAGCATAACTGGAGGAATCCGAGAGATTTGTTAGGAAGTAGTCAGAACTAATGGGATACCAAGAAACAATAATATCCCAAATGAATAATTACATTGAGACTGTTGGCTATTAACTGAGACAGGATGATTATCTGAAGAGAATTAAAAAGCATGATATACAATATGCAGTCGATAAAATGGACTTATATATGTTTTAGGACCCTGTCAGTGATGTAGTATAAGATGTAATCCAATAAGGTAGAGAATTACTATAACATCCATATGGTTTTTACACATTCGCAATTAAACTTAATATGGATAATCAAATTGAGATACTTTACAAAGATGTAATCAGATTTTACTAGTAAAAGATAATTCAGACAAAAGAGGAAAGATATCTTTTTGATATAGAACTAGGAGAGCTAAGAATTGTAGCCTAGAATTTCAAAAGAGCAGAGGAGAGAAATTAATAGCAGATTACAGAACTCAACATGAAAATATAGCTGCTGTTAGAAGAAAAATCAGATTAAAAGGAAAACTTTGAGCGCAGATTTAACTAAGCTGCAAAAGACTTTGTTACTGATTAGAGGAAAATGAATAAAAGATTTGATGACTTTAAACAGCTTACTAAACTTGAGATTAGAACACACGAGGAAATCAGAGTAAAACTGCAAAAAATTATTGCTGATTATAGAGGGGAGATCAAAGATCTCAAAGAAGCTTTGAAAGTGCCCAGGTAGTATTTCAAGTTTAATGACTAAATGAAATATGAAAACATGGTAAAGCAGAAAAATGATATTTTGGATAAACTCAGACAAGAAATAGACAATTATAATCCAAAGGTAGATAAAAAGAAGAAGTTTGTAAATATAGCCGATGTGCTTAATTTGAACAAGGAGGACTAGCATGTCTAGGAATTCATAGAGTAAGCTATTCTAAGAAAGAGATAGTCTTTGATTGGCAGTAATAACGAATTACTAAATAGAGATTTCAGCATGTTTAGTTTTCAATCAAAGGCGACAGCAGTTGGCAACGGAAGTCATAGGCCATTTATATAGTCATCTGGACTACCTAGTTCAAGAAATGTTGGAAACAGCAATCACTCTATGATCATATCTCCCTCATTCAGATTTGGACTCATGGATAGTCACAATCAAATAAATAGTTAAAAGAGAAAGATTAGTCATAGTGGGATTAGATCTATCATGAAGAATGATGAAAGCTCTAGATTTTTTGCTGATGATACAACATATAGTGGGACTAGAGCCCAAAGTAGAAACGAATCTAATTATTAGTGATTATAAATAATTGAGTGAGATTAAATTATTATATCAATGTATACACATGCTGAATTCTAAAAATCTTTATCAAACGGGGTTTTGGGGTTTTGGGG